GTATGAGTCAGGCAGACGATCCATTGTAAAAGCGGCATGGGCTCATAATCTGGCGATGTAGGATCTCCAGGCCGAGCTGACCGGAACTGCGCCTATGCTCTCTCGCCGGAAGTGCCGCTGCCACATGTAGTAATATAAATTATAATGCCCTTACGGTTTTTCCTTTCGCGGATTTGCATTTAAAACGGCCGGGGCCGGCCATTGTCGTTGAAATCGGGGCCTGGCCGATTTTCATGGAAATAAGAAAACCGCCCCTCCGTCTTTCTTTTTCCTTTTTCACCGGCCAGAGATAAAAAGCGAGGAAAAAGCAGCGCAATTAGAAGTGGGGTGATTGGCGGAGAGGGAAGGGGGCCAGCAGGGACGAAGAGGGTACACGCCCGTTGATTTCCATCGAATCGTGCCAAGGCTAATCGGAGATCAAATCTGGAAACGGCTCGCTTTCACCTACTCGGACAATGGACTCTCAAGCTTTTCTAATTCCTTTTTACTCCGTCTGGTTGTTGTTCTTTTCTTTTTTTCTCTCGTCTCGTCCCTCGCCGCCGCCGTCGGCCGAAGCGAAGATCGTGTGCGTCTAGGATGCGTGAGATATACCGGGGTTTCCTTAATTAACTCATATGCTAATTGCAAAACGGTGAACGTACCGGAGGGTCGTTAACAGTTTACGATTTGCTGGAGCCGATTAAAATCCCTGCTTCCAGTGATTTTTAAACGAGCTTTTCTTTCGAAGCCCGCTTCTTGTCGCGCACCACCGGCCGCTTGATAATATATCTCAGCTACGAAATATCGCGCGTAACTCGCCGGCTGGTATTTCACTGTTTTGCGATCGGGTGTTAATGCGTCGAGTATTTAAATGATATATTATTTCTGGCGACGTTTTTTGCCGAGGTAAACTTTACGTTTGACAGTTAAGCAGGAGCAGTGGAAAATTTATGTACTCGTTGTGTGTAGTGATATTTTAAGAAAACGGATCTATGCTCCAACATTTGAGAATGTTTGGTAAGTATGACACGAAAATTACGACGAGAAATTTTATGAGCGGCGTCTTAAGTGTCACGAGGAAAAAATATGGCGTTCAATTTTCCTTACTTTCTACCTCGCGTTTTCCTTTCGGCGAAACGCAAAACGCCCGAGTAATTAACGTAGGATCGCTAGTTAAATCGTGTTTCTATGTTGCAAATATCAAGTGGCAAAGCAAGATTTTCTCATGGATCAGGCTCATATTAATAGAGAACAGGTTCATGTCTCTGTACCGCTTGCCCATGTTGCATTAGTCAACTTCATTTTGTTGCCTTAATATATTTTCTACGGATTCGCTCTATTAAGCCTGCCTGCCTCCTTCAATATAATCGAATATTTCGTGTGAATCGAAAGACAACAAGATACACGCATTAGTAACAACTGTTTTATGTTCATTTCAAATTTGGGAAATCTTGCTTGAGGAAATAAAATTAGTCGATGAAAATATTTCATAAATTCATGATAGAACTGAAAATCGTTGAAAAGAAATCGAAGAATATTTTAAACAATATTGCCAGTATAGGATGAAAATGATATAATCAACAATGGTGGTAATATCGAAATTTTGTTTAAGAAAATAACATTACCATTCGATTAAAATATTCCACAAACTCGTAATAGAGTTGAGACTGGTCGAAAAGAAATCGAAGAACATTTCAAACAATATTTTCTGTTTTAATAATAAATACTAATAGGTAGTAACATCGAAATTCTGTTTAAGAAAATAACATTTTTATTCGATTAAAATATTCCACAAACTCGCAATAGAGCTGAGAATGGTTAAAAAGAAATCGAAGAATACTTTAAACAATATGTCCAGGTTTTAATAATAATCAACAATGGTGGTAACATTGAAATCTTGACTGAAGAGTCGCGTCAAGGTTCAGTAACATTTCAGACAACGAACTGTCCGCGTTTTATAAAGTCCACGATCTTCTGCACGGTGGTCTGGAACCGCGTGAAATTCGTTCTGGCTTCCTCAGAGGTTTTCGACTTGTAAATGATGGTCGTATACGCGACTGTCAGTTCAGTGACCAATCGTTGCGCTCTCCTGGCGGCCGCCTCGATCGAGCCCGTCGGTGTTTTGATACTCTGCGCCGTACGAACTATCTCTTCTTTAACGAGGTTCACTAACCGCTCGTCGTCCTTCTCGGTGGACTTACCGCTCGAGATAACGCGGAAAATCCCTTTGATGGCCTCGTCCGCAACGCCTGGAGCACAGGTCAAGCAGAAAATTGCAGCTGATGCATGTTCGTTTGAATTTCAAGAATTTTCATGAATACCATATCCACAGAATTTAATAGTCCACTTGTAATGGTACTGTCCGATGGTTGCAATGTAATTAAAGGTAAAATTATTCTGAACGCAGAAATGTTTAATGTCGTGTAACCTACTCGCAGTACTTAAACAAAGAGAACAGAAAATAAACTTCAAGTATTCGAAAAGGAATAAAGTACCTTTTCACGGAAAATTCTCTCGACTGTTTAGCCCTGCTAATGTTCCATCGGCTAGTATTTTCAACTATAAAACTAAAAAAAGGTTAACACGTTGACTGTTACGAGAATTTAGAGCGTTTCGTGTAACATTATATTATCATATATTATTAGAATAGAGGCAAGTGGTATTAGAATTAGTTATTAATGATTTGGTACCATAATTCTTAAGTTATACTATTATTTAGCTACGTACGTAACTAAATATTTTGATACGACATCAGTTTTCTTTTTGTAATTATTTTCGAATAATTTGAACGAGTCATCGGAGACCATCGTGGCGGTCAACGTGTTAACTAACGTTTGTCTCAATAGTTGCAATACGTCAAATTTCTTCTAAAATTTTTACAAATGATTGAATATAGAATCAAAGTACTTTAAAATAATATCTTTCCACTAAGATCCTTTTATATTGATACTGATATTACACACATTAACGAATCCTTTCAACTCTATCAAATCTAATATTTGTTTCCAAAGAAATCAGCGACGGAACTTCTACACGATGCATTTATCAGTTTTAAAGAACGTAGTAGCACGTGACAAGTTTCGCGAGATTTAACACTAGAACTACCATACCAGTCCAAATGACTGGTTCCGTTCTTGTTTCGCAATTATTGATATCTTAAAAACACTGAATATTCGAAATGATTATAAAAATACATAGTTTCATTTGAATACTATAACGAATGTCTAAAGAAACCAAGAAGAATCTATGGTTACAATTTTTGTCCGGATTACACATCAATCGTATCAAATGCTCGGTAGTTCTAGAGTTAACCCCTTGCCCTGTGATTCCTTTCTCAATTCTGATCGATGCAACTACTTTGTCATTAATAATTTATCGGAAGAAGAGAAAAATTGTAAGTATATTCTGTCTATGTTTGATCTCAAGTATAATAATTGATCGTAGAAGAATAATATTTACGTTGAATTCGAATGGATTGAGTAATATCTATGTTTGTTGAATCATGTTGGAAATCTTCACTAAGAGTCTAACACGTTGTTATAAAGCAAGGGTTTAATGAAAGATGGAATCTCCCATTGCTATCGGCAATGGTTTCGTTCACCTGGCGCTTCTCGTGTCTTCCTCTCGATCAATCCGAAAGGATCGTTCTCGCGATCGATGCCCAGCGATCGCGGGACGCCGCCAGCTAGAAGGACGATCGCGATCGCCCCGAGTATCGTCATCCTTGGACGTCCCATCGGGTGAAACTGTCGGCCACGGGACCGCCGATTTTCTCTTTTTATACCGCTGCAACCGTGGAGTGGCTGAGGATCGCGCAGGGACGTTATGCAAAATGTAATTTGTCGTGCGGCCACGCACCAATCATTACGAATCATTCTGATGCGTGTCATTAAAATGAAAAGACAGAAGGGAAAGTGGAGCAGCGTGACGCACCCGCAGGAAAGTATACTGTTTCGTGGATCACTTTGATTTTCACGTTTCTACGTCTGCGCGTAGCTTCCCCCCTTTCGCCGTGGAAAACTGCAGCCACGTGAAAGTGCAAACGTTGCTGCGACTTTGTACTTTGCTGAAACACTCTTGCAGGAAATAAATATTGCAATGGCGAAAAATTCTAAGTAGAAATGTTCGATAAAACTCTTGCGATGGATAGTTTTTCGTAATTTTGACAGGGGGACCATTCTATTCTGATAATTGTAGATTTATGAGCTTAACTGTACTTTCTATGGAGAATTTACCAGGGACATACTTCTTTTTGGTTTTATAATATTTAATAATATGTAAATATATAATTATGAAACTAAGTAAAAAACATATCTAAATATTTTCGAACGTAAGTGAAACTGCGTACAGGAACTCCAACGTGGTTTATTAATTTTCAATCCGATCTTCATTCCGATAACGTCCTTATTAAAGGTAATGAGGTCTCTATCAGTTCGATTAATCATTTGACAACGCATTTAATGAGGCCGCGGCGAAACTGGATTCGCTGAACACATTAAAATGTAAACGTGCGTAACCTGTAGCTAATGGTCTTCTACATATTCAATTAAATAACGCCATAATAATGGAAATGAATCAGTGATTACCGTGTCTGAAAATCACGAATTTGCATGAACATCTGCGGGTCCGTTATAGTTGCGAATAAATTTTCTGAAATATCCCCCTCGAATTCTTGCTTTCGTTGTAAACGTCGAACGTTCGCGCAGACGTTATAGGCGACGGATTTTTATGCATTCATGGGAAATTTCAGAATGCAAACTTGCACGGAATTCATACAGTACGATATCTCAATATCTCAACGTGCGTACTACGTCTTTCCAACGCAAGGATTAATTCTATTCTTAAAAATATAACTCTTCGCACTCGAAAATTTGTCACTGACATTCATTGAAGCAAAATAATGAGAAAACATATATAAATTAATAAAAAAAACCATTTTGTCTAAATATTTCACGTATTGATGCATCATACAAAGTTTAATATTATACAAGATATTGATTTTAACTCAAACACCTAAATTATTCCCGTTATTACTGAAAGTAAGAAAAAATTATTAAATAAAATTACCTTCACAGGATTTTGAACACCATCAAATGGGCACCTTAAAACCACGTACATCCTATTTAGTCAATTTTTCTTACTTTCAATAACAGCGGAAATAATTTAGATGCTCCAGTTAAAATCAACACCCTGCACACAAGATTTTCTAATTTTATTACATGAAATCAAGTGGTGAACAAGAGTCGCCTCCCGAGTCGCAAGGGGTTAAATTTACGTAAAGGTACGCAGTATAATTACCTCGAATACATTCGCGTTTGCATTATAATGTATCGAGCCGATTCACGCGATTCTTGTCGGTGGAACACAACGGGCTCAACAGGTCGTCGCGTCGCGTCGGTTCCCCTGGTTCGAAAAATGGTGAAGCGACGCCGATGCTGGCCGGCGGTAAAAGTGCGTGAACATAGGGAGGGAGTGCATCCAGCCATGATTCCTCCTCACCGATTTTTACCCCTTTCCTGTCCCCTGCGCCACGCTCCCCCATTTCAAACACGCCGACTCGATGGCTCACGATTAAAGCCCGCAGAGGTTTTCAGAATTCGTGTTTCGCAAAGGATGCGCCCACTTTCACCGGCGATACAGTTTTGGTACGAACCGCAGCCCACCGTCCACTCTTACTGTCTTTATAGTCCTGTTACGTGATACTCTCTTTTGCGGCGACACGCCGGAAAAAACATTTGTGATTTGAGATGTTGGTGGTGCTCCGAAGATTTTGTATTTATATATTATGTTAGATATTACATTTTAGTTTTTTCCAGTTGGTGATAGTAAATTGTAACGTGTTAAGCATAATATGATTTACATATTTCCTCGTTGGCTTTGAGTACAAAATGTAACAAATAGTTTACCGCGGTTATCTTTGTCTATTAATTATTATTAATAGATTTGACTATTAATAGAAAATATAATATCATTCGATTTTCTTTCATCCCTCCCTTTTATTCAGCGATTAGATCCTACGTTTATGAGAATGCAAATCTTCAGTAACCGGTATGCAAGTGTTACATGAGGATCTACCATACTATTATCTATGAGACAAGCCTCATATTACGCATCTATTATTCAATCGGCTAATCAAGTGTTACGTGTTCTCTATCAACTATCTCCTTTGATTTTTTCAAAAACCATGTCTCAAATGACGAAATTTCACTCCACATTTTCGACTTGTCGTTCCACGTAGAATTATCCGCTTCCCGGTTGTACCAGCGATTACAGCCGGTTTACTCATCACGGGCCTGGCTTTCGTATTTCTGATCGACGTAACAAAGAAAAGTGGACGTCCAGAGTCCGCGAAGTTCCCGTCAATGCGTCCCCCATGGGGACACGATCGGACAGACAGACCGTAGGAGTCTCGTCTCGTGCACGTTCACTTCGTGGGATGAATGGAAATACGGGTACTTGAGTAAGCTTAAATTACATTTCATTCATGCAGGAAAAGCAGACACGCGGGAGTCGGCCTTCCGGCTCGCGTTGCGTCTGTATAGAAACAGTCGGAGCTTCTGCGTAATAATGGCTGGCCTATAATGTGTATTATCCAGACATCCTGCGGCACCGTCTCCTTTCGCGTTACACGGCTTTTCCTAGATTCAGCCCTCGGACTCGGTTGCGACAGCTAATCGGACGGTGTGCACCCCGCGTTTCGCCTTTTCCCAGCCCAGCCGGTCTTGAAATTGTCTGGTGTCCAGCCGTTGCGCAAAAACCGTGCCGCGTCGAATGCTTCGGAATCGCACGGAGCGGAATCTTTTCCAACCGCCGTAGTTTGAAAATATAATTATCAGCAAACCTCCGGATCTTTCTTTGTTTTCGGATCAAGCGGAACTCGTTAATTCATCGATGACCGGAATTACTTGGAAACAGTTACAAGAATGTATCGCAATATTTAGTTACGTAGGCAGCTATGGTACCAAATCGTTGCTAATTAATTCTAATACCATTCGTTTTGATACGATAAGTAAGGTTATACAGAATACCCTAAATTCTCGTGGCAGTTCATGTGTTAATATCTGTGGACCAGCAAACAGTTTTGAATAGCTGTAACGAGTCCTGCTCGAGTATTTTAATTACAGTTACAATATTAAACTATTGTATATAAACTTGCGTAGCATATGCACTTTTAGAAATTACATGAAATCCTATCAATGGTAAATTTTTAATAGTGTCAAGATCGAATAAGCAGATCACTTTCTTTGATCCCCTAAATTAGCAATTCCGGGGTACGAAAGCCAGTAAACGAATCGAAGTAAAAAGTATAACACCATTACATTAAAAACCTTCTATCTCATAAGTCGTAAGTGAACAAAATTCCATAGGAAAAGATATTGTATTCAACGTTACAGTCAAAAAAAAAGATACTAATCAGTCCAAGCGTCGAAAGACCCTCTGAAACTGTTAGATCCTCTGTTGAAACATCCCGTGCCCCGACGCTGAAGGGTCGATCACGAAAAGAGGACAACTCTTTTTAACGAGAGCATTACGTTTCATCGAGGTATCCCAGAGATCGTTGTCCCGAAAAGCGTGCTGCCCCGGGTCTCGGGGCCGACAAATCCGCCGACCGAAGACAGACGAAATATCGATCTCGCGTACCATCGATCACGATCTTATCAGGGACCAACCATCCCCGGTGCCGGGTGTTGCAAGGCGCTGGATGACGAGGAAACGCGGTGCGAGCGTTCCACACGTAGCCGGTGATCCACGATCGGTGGACACAATGAGCGTGCAGAAGCGAGACGGCGCGAGCAAAGAGGCGAGAAACGGGGTCCGTGGGCCCCCTCGGGCCCGGCCTCTTTATTCTTCGGTATCGGCAATGGGGCAACGATGGAAACGACGTGGCCTATTATGAGCCGATCGCGTGAAGTACAATGATCAATGCTGGCCAGCGTCGAGAGGACCCAGGACGACGCGTTCCTTTGGCCTGGATTATGGCACCGGGAGAGGACCACCGAAGATCGACAAGGCCGATTACGTCCGCGATGACTTTAAGCCCTGTTTAAATGCTGCCATTCTTTTCCTCCGGCCAGCTTGACCCCGTCGGTCGACGTATCCGTGGGCCGATTTCGTGATTCTCCTCGTTCTTTGCTGACTCCCCACTCTATCTCTTTTCTTCTTGCTTCCGCTACGTTTCGTGGGTCGAGGGCTTTGGTGTTGGTCGATGGTCCCGGAAGTTGTACAGCAGAGCCCTCTGTAACGCGATTAAACTTTTCAGGGACGAATTCTCTTTGAGAACAAACGGATGATTCTAGTTTTCGTTCGGTTACAACCTATTTCGTTAAAACTGATACGAATTGAATAATACGAGGATGGACGTAGGCATTTATGAGAAACATACGATGAAAATAATTAAATGAAATAATGACAATCAGCATTTCAATTAGCATTTCCATTGTAATTCGCGTAATTTTCTTAGCGATGAATGACTGTAATAGAAATACTGGATTTTAGCACTGACTACAAGTACCGTACTTAAAGCAATGGAAAGGTAGCCATCTTGGAAAGCAAAATTTATGTAATTCGAAGGCAATCATTACAACGATATCTGTCGCTATTAATTTCTTCACTGAATAAAGTAAATATTATTTAAATGTGTGCTTCAGGAAAGGATTTCGTGGTCCCTGCACTAGGCTGCCGATATCTTGTAAGAGCAAGGCGCAATTTGGCTAGTCATGCGGCACGCGTAATCACGGGAC